GGTTCCAGATGTGATTTCTGGTACATGTATGCGCATACTGGAGATCTTACAAAGCAATAATTTTATTTTGTCCATTTTCATTTTTCACCTTTATTTATTTATTTATTTTATCATTGTTGTTATCTTGTGTCTGATTTCTGTTCTCCATTTATTTGTTTTGTGTGCTCATTAGTCACTCTTGTCCTTTGTGTCAGTTTATTCTTCTACTGACATCAGTAGATGAAGGTGACCCCCTGTAGAAAACAGAACACCGGAGGTTTCTGTCGAAGACTGCTGATGTTCCTCTGCCTGTGGCCATGCAGGGGGTAGGGGGTTTGGGGGGGTCATATTGAGGACTCACAGGAGTGACTTGGTGTGAAAAGGAGGATGGATAGAGAGGGGATGGATGCTTTGGACCGAAATCTGCTGATTGTTGGAAATGGTACCCACTGAGAGACAAGGGCTTCAGGGGGAGAACGGGGTGAGGAGGTACACCCTGGTATGGTAGAGAGGGAAAAAGAGACAGGCAAAGAGGAGGAGATGAAAGAGGGTCACGTGATAGACATACAAGGTAACACAACAACATGTACAGGTCAAAAAATCATTCAGGCAAAGCAGACAAAAGAAGATACAAATCCACTGAAGAAGAACACGATTCTGTATAAGTAAAGCACAACTGCAAGAACCAGGTTGAACACAAAAGCACAGATTAACACACACACCAATCACTAGCCATTTAGGGTCAGTTATTAATAACATGGCTGTTGAGAGTAAGTCTCATTCCTCCAGTCCACAGTGAATGTCTTCTGGAATTCTCTATGATGTAAGAAGAAGAATACATTCTGTTAAATTCCCTGCTATTACGTAAACAATGAATGCCAATATAACATAAACAGAGTGACCGGTGTAGTTTTTTAGGGCTCAAATGGCTGACATAAATAAACATCGACCATATACTGTACTTCAGGTATAACATAGCATTACAATTCTGTTCGACAAAGTCTAAATTGTGAATATCAGCGAAATATACAAGAGATAACAAATGTCATCCCTGTTGCAACTGCTGGACTAGGAGGAAGAAATTCACAGACACTTGTGGCCATAAACATAACATAACACAGCATAGCATTGCAAAGCATAGCGGTATTACCATAACATAACATAACACAGCATAGCATTGCAACACATAGAATTCTGGTAAACTCTCTTTGCATGTGGTTTAGTCTTTTTCATGTTAAGGGCTGACTTTATTGTTCCTCCTAGTGGTTGCCTAGAACTGTTAACCTCACAACTAGTATGCTAACTATCAGTATGCTTATCAAGTGTTGGGTAGATGGAAATGAAGTTTCCTTTCAAAATGGCACTCTCAATATTTTTGTATTAGGTTATGTTATTCTGCTTCACTTTGAATTAGTAACTCAAAATGGCACTCTCAATATTTTTGTAATAGGTTATGTTATTCGGCTTCACTTCACTGTATTAGTAATATAAAGCATCAGTATAGCATTGACTGTATATACATTCCTATTTTTTCCTATTTATTATTATATGGTTGTTAGGATTTTTTTTAAACTTTAAATTCAATTTTTTTAAATTGTCAGGTCCATTGAGACACGACTTACATACAAAAATATACATTTTTATAAGCAAAAAAAGTTTTCCTGAAGTGTTTTTGAATAATTCTAGTCCCCACCTTGTGCATTTCTACCTATATTCTTTATTCTTTTTTAAATTACAAAACAAATTTTCATAGAGCTACAGTTTTTCTTTCCTTTCATTTTAGTGATGAATTACAATTTTAACTGCATCTTGGTCCCATAATGAAAACCTTGACTATGGGAATGACGAGGTCAGTGTAAAGCTGTAATGCTGCCTTATATACTTGACACTTGTTCCCCGCCTCTCCACACCTAGTTGTGACACACTTACTAAAGCTGCCTGTTCGCCCTTCCTGTTCAGTCTCCATCGTGATTTCCCCTTCCGGCCTGATAGTCTTACTTTCAGACCGTGACTATCTCCCACGGACAGAGCCAAAACGGGATTACCTTGAGAGGAAGAGCATCTATGTGTGGTAAACCAGCGCCACCAGATGTACATAGGGGGCAACTGACTCATGGGTCTGTGAATCCTCAAAAAATAAAAAAAAAAAAAAAAAAAAAAAACAGAAAAAGAAAAAGATTGAGCCTAGGAAGTTCATGACAGTAAAAAACAAGTCTGTAACGAGGTTTGTAGCAAAAGCCGAGTAGGGAATGTGAGGTATATGGTGGTCCCTTGTTGTTATTATTAATATTATTATTATTATTATTATCATCATATGACAGTATTAACTGTCAACAGCATTAACATCCTCTAGTGACAGGAATATATACTTTAACACGAAGGCAAACAAGGGACAAGTCAATAAGTTCTAAAACAAAATGAAAAATATATATAAATAAATAACAATAAATAAATAAAGACACATTCTCTACATATCCCCGACTAAATTCTAAACAGTGCAAATGCTGCTTCCGTCAGAGGATTCATTTGTTTTTCTTTCAGTTCTTTCAGTTTTGGTAAAAGAGATAATGTGAGGTCTGTCTGTTGTTTCCTGTTCCTGCTGTGTGGGGTAATCAGTGTCATCACACTCACCTCTGTCTCTGTGATTAGTCTTCCTCGAGTCGCCTGGGGCCCTGGGTATATACCTCTCTCCTTCACTCAGTCTTGGGATCTCTGGGATCGTTGTTCTGTAGCTGTTCGTGAGAATTCCATGATGTTTGGAGAAGAGTGTGCCAGTGTTCGGCGTTTCCTTCCCGAAAGATTTTGTTGTTGCTCTTCCACCCTGTTTGGAAAAGAACCCGTCTGTAATCGTTGTTTCATTCCTGTGTGTTGTTGTTGTTGTTGTTGTTGTTGTCGCTCCACTGTGAATAAACCACCTGCTGCACCTGAATAGAGTCCCCCTGGTGCTGCATTTGGGTCCAACCTGCTTCCTGCCTTGCATAACAGATAAAACATTTGGTGCTATAACCCTGATGCGAAGCTTCATTTATTCCCAGTCAATTCAAAGCTGGGGAAAAAAAAGGTGACAGATTGTTGTGATTCAAAGATGTATTTATTCATTTGTGGGCCTTGACAATGCTTGATGATATAATGATTGAACTTGTCAGCTGCTCAGCCCTTACGCCCATTGCTTTTCACTGCACCTTGTTTGTCAAGGACAGTGACACATAGTGAGAACCTGAAGACAAACTGAGCTTGGCATCGCCAGTGTCATTGCAGAGGTTTTAAATCCCCTAACATGATTTTCCTTATCCTATTATAGGCATAACTCTGTAATGGAAGCTTGTAGAATGTTATGGATGGTGGAGATGGAGTGAACAAGGGAGAAAATAGATGTTTCAACATTTTATTTCTGTATTTATTCAGGCTTGCGTATTGGATGACCAAATTTGTGTCCTCGCTGGTTATGTATTTTTGTTTTTGAATATTGATGAGGTAACGCAGTTCAAAGGATACAGTTCTTAATCTTAAAATATAGTATTTATTTTAATCAATATTGTTGTTGTCAAATAATTCTCAACAAAAAAAGACAAGTGAGCTGTTGACATCACTTATCCACTTTGGCGTTCAGTTGAGAAATGTTAGCATTTTTAGCGTTCTCCCGTGAAACAAATTGCTTGTATCGGAATAGAACGAATTTTTCTGAACATATTTGATCTTTTCTACCCCCCAAAGTTTAAATTCCACCCAGATTGCCCCGCACGCAGCTTGTTATAGCGTTGGATTGTTGGGTTGGCACAAGTGTTTGAATGAAGGATCCCTGTATCCCTACTAAAATCTATCGTTCTGTAATCTCTGTAAACTTGGAAACTTAGCCTCAGCTGTCTCTAAACCGATACATGGATTATATTTAGTTTGTTGACCCTAAAGGTTTTTTGAAAGTAAATATCGAAACACGCCTGGGAAAGTTTAAAATAATGTAATTACACTTAATATCCAGCAGAGCGAGCTGTTTTCCCAACAACGCATACATTTTTATTTAATAAAAAAATGTTTCTAGATAATGATTTGTGAGTTTACTAGTGTGCATATATTTCACAGGATATATATATATATTTGTTTTATTATCATCATCATCATCATTATTATTATTGTGATGTTGAAAAGACAACAGTGTGACCTACCGTGACATACTGTAAAGCAGGAGTGTCAAGCATATGGCCGAAGCAAAACCGAATTTTAAATGTAAAAAAAAAAAAAAAGCACATGCACAACTCTTCATGTTAGTGATCTCTATCCCCCTGATAACAGCATTCACAGAATTACTTGTAAAAAATGGAAATCATCACATTTCATTTTTCTGATGCATGTCAAGGAACTTACTGGACTCCTTTACAAAGTAGTTAAACACTGAGCCCTTATAAGACCACTAACTTCAACCAAAGGATTCCAAATGTTTGCACATGAGAGATTCAAAAGTTTGCAAGTTTCATTGTCAGTGACACATGAAAAATTCAACTTCACTTTTTTATTATGTCTTTAATTATGTCACTATTTATGGAATGCATTTCCTCCCAAAGATGCTTTCCCATTTCTGGGGACAGAGGCTGTGTATGTATACAAGGCATCTAAAATGATTTTTTCCCTGTTTTTCTGGCCGCAGAAAATTGAAGTCACGGACAAAATGTTTACTTATTGTGGGTACGCGCTACTTCTCGCGCTATATTTTCATATAAACTTTGACCTTGTCAGTTTTTCCCTTACTCTTTGAATTGTGTGTGTTTCCATAGGTTCTCTATGGACATAAAGTTGTGCTGTTGTTATCTGAATGATTAAAATGTGGAAGAAATATATATTTGCAAAAGCGTGACACGTTGACAGGAATTCGGTTTCTCCAGTAACCACTGCGTTTTACAGTATGGCAAAGCGTCATAGCTTAAGCAAGAACAGCAAACCGTAGCGGTTTGTCCACACTGATCCAATAAAACGTGCAATGAACATAAGATAATTTGTGCGTGTGTGTGAGAGAGAGAGAATGAGAGAGAGTGAGAGAGCGAGAGAGAGAGAGAGAGCGAGAGAGAAAGAGAGAGAGCACCACGCAAGCGCTTAAACCGATTGGACACCCAATTTTCGGTGGGTGTCTCTCCAGCTCTCCTCCACACTTTGAGTGGAGCTGTGCGCTGTGATTTTCGAAGGCCCCCGGCGGTGCAGCGGGGCAGACATTCCGTGGATTATCATCAGCGAAGACAAATGGGGAAAGAGGACATCGCCGCGTTGATGCCGTAGTCGCCTTTTACGCATCCGTTTCCCAGCTGCTGCTTAGAATACATGCACATCTGATTGAATACAAATATATAGAGAGAGAGAGATATATATGTATATACCTGCTGCTTATCACCACCGCACGCCAAATCTCTTCAGATAAGATAGTGATCGGGGTGGTGTCGGACAGGGATGAGAGGGAGGCGGTGGATGAGGTGACTATGAGGTGTGCTTTTTTTGGAAAAGCCGGAGAAAGACGTACGCCGAGTTGGTGCGCTGCTGTTCGGGAGCCTGCGACGCGATGCCCTCCTGAGAAAAGGGGGGAAGAAATGGCCTAGTTAGAGCCTCGAAGACAGAGGATAAGAAGAAGATGAACAAGAAACACACTTGAATGGACGGGGAATCGTCATTACCGCCGCTGTCGTCATCATCACTTTAATCCCAAGGTAAGCCTCGTGTGTCACCTTTATTCGCGTGTCCGTGTAATTGTGTGCATCATGCGTGTCATGTGTATGTGTGTGTGTGTGTGTGTGTGTGCAATGACTCCGCACTTTGCGCACGGTTTACATGTTGACGCGCTGTCAGAACTACGGGGTGGATGAGATTTGAATCAGAAATGTGAACGCACTTTGGTTGCTACAGCACGTATTCGCTACCTTTCAGCCGGAGCCAACCATTGGCTTTGCCTGTTGATAAGCACATCTTCACACGATCAGTCGACTTCGTGCACTTGGCGTCAAGACCTGTCCTTTAAACGGGGCTGCTGACAAGATGACAGTCCTATTTATTATAAGACACCGAGACCACTTTCACTTGCCGTGTCAGATTTTTTTTTGGTGATGTCTTTATTTAATCCATTTGATTTCATTCATCGTGTGTGAAATTGGATGTGTGTGTTGTGTGTGTTTGAGAGGGGGAGAGAGAGGTGGGAGAGAGAGAGGTGGGAGAGAGAGATGGGGGGTGAGTCTTGTCAAGTCTGCTCATGAGAGGACATATTCAGATTAACACACACACACATACACAGATAGAGAGAGCATGAGAGGACATATTCAGATTAACACATACACAGATAGAGAAGAGACAGAGAGAGAAAGAGAGAGAGAGAGAGAGAGAGCACTTAATAATCATTTCAAGCCAAATTGAACTTATTGTCCATCTTCGCTGTTAGATTAGATTGGAGAGATTTCATCGTTATGTGAACTCTTAAAATGACACAAACCATCCCAAGTTCTGTGTCACTGTGTAAATAGCCAATCGTTGGTCCAGTCTAATAAACATACGGCCTTTGTTACCAATGTGATAATAGAACAACACATAACCCCCTTAATAATTGTCAACATTTTAAATAAATGCGAACCAAATTACCGTGTCTCACCAAAATGGAAAATGAAATAATGTATAATCCTGGCCAACCAAAACATCAAAAATATTAATTAAAAAGTTATTGAAGTATTTTTTTTTTTTTAATTTGAAAGCGTGATAATGGTAATTTCTGTGTTACACTGTTTTATATTAGAGATGATGGTCCTCAGACAGTCAGGATTTATAATGGGGATAAAAACAGGACACACACACACACACGCACACACAGCCTCAGCACATGAAGATGCAGCTAGGATTGTGAGTTAAATGCATCCAGGGAAGACTCCATTAATATTCAGTGGTGGTTGAGACAACATTCAGCTAATGGTAGACAACAGGACCTCTGTTCTGACAGGTCTTTGGATAAGGATTAGTCTGTCTGTCTTCACTTTCTTCTTATTATTATTATTTCCATTATTATCACATTTTCCCCCATAGAATACACTATCTGTGGCTAAAGGGGAGTGACATTTAAAAAAAAATAGGCGGAAGGCCAGTAGTGTGTTTTTGTCGACATTTGCTGATACATTATATACTGATGAAATGCCTGTGATTTCTTTCTTTGGCCTAGCGTTACATCAGCTTGCCGGCATTTAAAAAGTTCTCCAAAGGAGCAGGACAATGTCGAAGTCATTAATACGTACAACCAGACATTTCATATATAGTCGTCCATAACAAGCTCTCTGGTCGTCTGTCGAAACTGGTTTGCTGAACATATCTAAACTAGCCACAAGGATTTGAAATGAGAAGTTAAGGTGTTCGTAGACTTGTAATCTAGAACAAAAACATAATACATCTGAATGCATAACGCTTAATATGGCGTGTTTTCGAGTCACATGCCGGCCCGTAGTCGCTCTCACTCGCAGAGGTCTTCCAGCACGAGCCACAAAAAAAGTTGCCTTTTATGTCATTGTCTATGTTCTGCTTTGTTTTGTACCTCAGCCTCCGTTTCTCTGACAAGATCTCTTCCTTGTACTCCTGTGGTTCTCGCCCCTGTACTTTCCACCCTTTTCTGGCCTCCTCTTTGTTGCTTTTGGACTGTGATTCTGTTTGCAGAGTTTATTACTTTTTCCACTTCTCCTTCTCTGGGCTGATTTTTTTTTTTTTTGTTTTTTTTGTTCATAGAGCCATTTCTGGACTGGTTGATTGCCTGAACTGTTACAAATAGGGATGCACCGATTCACGTTTTTTCACTTCCGGTCCGATCCCGATATTTTAGATTTGGCTACCGGCCGATACCGATACTATTTAGATACTATTGCTTTAATATTATTATTATATGCATGTATTTCCCAAAATGAACCTTGAGGTTAGTATGAGGTCAGAAAAGGAAGTCAAAAATACAGGAAACAATGATAACAGGAAAAACCCCATCCTTAAAACAAATATGCAATTGTATTGGTTTGAAGTTGAACATTTGTGCAAAGTAAACATCTTACAACAACGTGTCCATCCGCCTTTATTCAATTCATTGCTGGCTACATTGACAGTAAACATGTCGTTCCGCAGGACATGACTTTTCTTTAGTTCGAAAACGTTAATAATTGGAGCATTAATAGTAAAGGGGCCTCGTCTGTCCTTGTATTGCACGTCCAACTCAAGCTTACTCTAGCTCTTTGACTCTTCGGTGCAGAGACAACCACCCTATCCAACCCAGGACATCTCCTGCAGCTCTCCAGATGGGAGATATTCTCAAGACATTTCAGAGACTGTTGCGCTTTTCTGACTGAGCATGATTTCCATTTTAAGCTTTAGGCAACATTGACCCTTCTGTCGTTCCACGGCTGTCTATAACCGTCACTTCTGCCTCTCTAGCACAGTGGCAGCTTGGGTTCCTGTGGAGAGGAGCTACACGTTGCTCAGGAACAGAAAAACAAGAGCTCTATTTAATTTATGTGAGAAGAAGTGTAGGGTGTCATGCTTCGCAACAGCTTCTGGATTCAGCCCACTCTATTTTAATAGATTCGTCTACGGACCTTTAAGCACCATGATGACCTACTCGCCCCTTGAACTGCCAGAGCAAATGGACCCTCTTACAGCCCTCGTCATTAAAATACAGGAGGACTGGCATCAAAAAGAAGAAGAAAGGAAGCAACCTTGCGGTGCATCATCTGCCTGTGTGTAGCAAGTGTTCAGACTTTGGCTTCTTTCTCCTGTCCTCTCGCTTATAACTTCCTCTACCACCATGCCATTGACCCACTGAGGAAGCCACGTAGCTGGGAATTCAATTATACTATTTGCCACAGTCGCCTCCATGCATCAAAATCCGTTGGTTCCAGATGCCAGTGGACTGTGCAAACAGGAAGTGCCTTCCAAAGGTGTAATTAGGCCTGCTCTTTGGCCATTAATCTTACTCTGCCTGATTCAAACTGTCACTTTAAGTTGAAGATGGAAATTTCCATTTTGGGGATTGGCACTATCCCCCACAGGTCTTCTAAAGAAATTCTCTTTCAAGTGTCTTCATCCGCTGGAAGTTGTCCTCTGCTGAAAAAAAAAACGGCCTTTAATGACTAGCTGTTGGTCAAAACCACTTTGGAGGAATGATGACACTAGCTGCGGGGAGAACACTCTTTTCTGAACCAGTTATCAAGACGTCCTCAAAACGCACCTGTGACCATGTGTTATGTGCTAACTGTATGCTCTGTGACACTTACAACGACCCCGACCAGCAAATAGTAATGTATTGTCAGTTGGTGTTAGGTTAGCATGGACACGCTAACACTCACAGCAGATTTATGAATCTACCTTCCAGCATTAAAAACTGTGTGCAATGCATCCATGCAAATTTGACTCACTCAAAATGGCAACACGGAGCTGGATAACAACAGTGTATAACATATAGCTACAATATTAAGCAGATCATTTGGGAATCAATTAATCTCACCTAATTAAAACAATTGAGAAGTATTCCTGCAGATTTCATTGCATCCAATCAGATAAGACTTTGGAGAGCGCTTTTTGCCGACTTATTCCAGCTCCTCTGTCTAGTTGTTCGTAGATTTTTGTAAAACCTGCAGCTTTGTGAAGCAGCTGTAGTAGTAATTATAACTCATAGTAGTCAGATGACTCCTCTTGCATGATTATGATTGGCTGAAAAAGAAAAGCCAATTAATGTTTATTTGATATGGTGTCACCCAAACCCAAAAGTAGGAAGTGGAATTTTAGCAAGAATTTCCTCAAATAAAAGCAAAGAAAGAGCAAGCGGCAAGCCAACTGTTTTAATTTTTTTTACACGTTGATCTCCAGACAAAACACAGTAATTTTTGTCCAGAGGTTATATGTTCTCTTCTTTTAGTATAAAGTACACAAGGCAAGATCTTAAGTCAGATTTTTCCCATGACTTCCAGTTGGGAAAAGTCTGCACCGGTCTGAGCGATACTCATATCATCTAAGTGATATTGTAATTTTAACATTATTTCCTTATGTAGTTTCAGAGAGTTAAGAATGATCTTGGAGGCATGTCTTTGGAGAATGACTTCAAAATTCCAGGATTGACTGCACGGCTTAATTTTTTTTTGTTTCTTTGTTAGGATATTAGAATATAATTGAGGTATTTAATACTGCATCTGTGGTACAGTGGCAGCTATTCCTGCCTGCCATTTAGTAACATTGGGTTTCAAACACTCTTAATCTCTTTGGGGGAATGATGAATATATATATATATATATATTCAGGATGGCCACAGATATGTAAATCAAGAAATTCTTCTTCTTCTGTCTCCTGACAACGCACAAGGCATTCGTTCTCTTCATTTTCAACCACTTAATCCTTTTAATAGGTTGCAGGGAGGCCGAAGCCAATCCTCGAAGTCATTAGGCCAGAGTGGTGTATGCACTGTCCATCACGGGGCCATGTATAAAACTGACATTAGGTCTAACTCACGACCAACATCAATTGAGAGTGTTTGGACTGTGGGAGGAAACCGTATCCAGTGAAAAGCAAGGCACACACAAGGTGAACCTGCCAATTTAACCTTCGTGTTGTCGTTGGGGTCTAGGTGACCCGGGGGCCGATAATATGCCTTTGTGTTTGTGTGTGTTGGTTTACTAAAAGTGTCCGGTACAACGATTGAAAGGATGCTGAA